AATATAAAGAAATTATGGATGTTTTCTTCCTTATTAAAACTAAATGGCAATCCATTACCTATTGTTCGAAAGTCACTTTGAAATTTTATTTGAATCTTTGAAAATGAGCTCAGACCGTTGCACCAAAAAGTTGCACGTTTTGAACATGATCTTATAAGCAGCCAGTATCTTATGAATATTTTCTTGCATTTTTTTTCAAACAAAAAATTATACAGGCAAGAAGTTTGAAAATCATGTTTCAAATTGTACCAAAATAACATCTCATTCAAATGGCCACAGAACTTAGAGTTTATAGTGGAGCAAAACAACTCAACGCTCAGATGAAAAAAAGCATGATCAGTATTTGAAAGAAGATAAAGATGATCTCTTTCAGTTGCAAAAGGGCGACAAAATCTGTAGAGCAAGAACCATGTTTAGATACTCATTTAAATGAGGGAGGCTAAATTATGCAATTATTACGTGGTTGGAAGTGGAAGAGCAATCTTGAGCTTGTAAAGCTTTTTGACTACTCAATTATCTAAGTTGGAATGACGAGCAGGTTGTTCTAAACCTTGAATGGCCTTCTGAATGGGCCCGAATATTCTATCTGTTCACTCATGCGTCTCAGTTTTGTCCTAGCTTTTTCTTTAGGGCCGCTAAGAAAAGAAAGGTGTGGAGTTTAGTCACGAATTTCGTCAGCTGGGTGCAGCCTAAGCAAGGATTTCGTGCATGCTTGGAAACACTCGTTATGACTATTTCAGGCGAGTCACAGCGCAACAAGAAAACGAAAAGAGCGGTTTCTTCAAGAATTAGAGAATGCGTTCCTTCGTTATGAGATGGCAATAACTAGAACAAAAGATACCGTTTCGTCAGCAGACGCAGCACATATACACGATTTGGGAAGAACAAATATTATAAAAGAAGTGCAAACGCTACATGTGGAAACCTTAGAAAAATAAATACGTATAGGGCAACTGCAGATGGAGACAGCGTTGGAAGTCAAGCACTTCGACTCGGTATTTGCCCTTGTTGTTCACCTGACCGCCCACAAGAGGTCGCTTGAACATCAAGTGCGAAGCTGCGGTTGTCGATGTTTAACAAATAAAACTATTTTTCAAGTGGTCATCATAGTTTTCTATGGAGGAAAATGCGTGCAGAACCTCAACGCTCACACATTTCACCCATAAAAAAGAGATTTCAATTGTTGGAGAACGAATAGCAGCTGAGTTCTATGAG